GACTCTACTGTACACAGCTGATGCAGCGGCAGAGGAAAAATCTGAAGGGAGCGCTTCTCCCAATTAAATCAAGCCTCGTCCTCGTGCTGCATATTTGGAAGGTTTGAGGGAGCCACTGAATGCATCTCAGATCTCAGGTCATCTTCCAGAGCCTTTTCTCTAAATGACTGGTGAGAACTGTGTATATCTTTGATGACCAACTCAAAGCTAAGAAGAGCAACAGGACAGAGTTAGTGCCTTGAATCTGACTTTTTTTTTCCTTCTGGTTGTTTTCTTTTTCTTTTTGAGGCAGAGACACTGGAGTGTGAATAAGTCAGACGAAGAGAAGAGGCCAACGGGTTTTCATTCAGATCGTCTCTTCCTGCACCTTCTGAGGGAAACCAGCTGGAAGATGCCCTCGTGATGTCCTGAGCAGGTAAGTGCGCCTCTCATCAATAACTTTTTGCTGGTAAGATCACTTCTGCTTCTAAATCAGGCTTGATTTGAACTCTATAAACTTCCACAGCATCTTACAACTAACTTTGCTGGCTGGGGCTTTTGAGGGTCCACATTTCAAACATCTGGAAGAGGGGACCCTATAAATTCTGCCATCACATCCTTCGGTGTGATGGATGCCTGAATACATGCTTCTGAACATTGCAGAATAGTTCTCTCACCCTCTCCCCATCCTTCCTTAGGCCAGAATTTGGGGTAAAGTTACTTTTTTTTTCCTGATTGCAAAGCCCAGAATCTCCCAGCTGGAGTGGTTGGTGGAAGAATGAACAAATTATTTACCCATCTGTCTTCTACAATCAATTGATTGTTCACGTGTTTTAAGCTCTTTGTATACTGTACTTCTTTTAAGATGATGCTTGTATTTATATACCAATCATGTCTACATTCCAGCAATATATGCCTGTATTCGCAGAAGGCGGAACTAGATGGCCCTTGGTGTCCCTCTACAATTCTTTGATTCGGTTATTTTACCTAGGAGAAAGTCCCACTGAGTTTGCAGGGGCTTACTCCCAGGTAAATAGCAAGCCCATTTACAGATACAGGAAACCCCTTTTGCCTTTTGAAATAACTCCATCTGTTTCCAAGGGCGGAGGCTGAGCAGAACCGGGGGGGGGGCAGACAGGCTTAATAAGCTAAGTCTTAGCATCCTAATATTCTCCAAGGAGGAGGGGCAAGTTGTGACCCTCCAGATGCTTCTGGGCGGCCGCTCATCTTCACACGTTTGTGTTTAGCTTCAGACCTTGGAGAAGTTACTTTGGACTATAACTCCCAGCATGACTGTTTTTGTGAGTTGTAGTTAAAAAGAAGAAGTACCGTAGCTTTTCCAAGTTCTGCTAGTCTTAAGAATGGGAGAGACCCCCCACCCCCCTTTTATATATATATATGTAACTGAGAATCTGGTTCAGGTAGTTGTTGAAGCTCTGAGTAAACACTTTTCTGAGCTAGCTCAAAGCACAACTGACCTCTTGTTTGGCAAACTCACTTGCCTAAGTTTCATTTGGAAATCTCTTTGTGCTCACAAACACCTCAAATTATATGTCACCACCAAAAGGCTTTGTTTGGCTTGCCTACAGCAGACATTAAACTAACTCCACTGCAAAAGTGCCGTAGGGCAGGTTGAGAGGATGATGACCTCCAACAGAAGGCACTTCCCAATGAGTTAGCAGGATGACCAAAAAAAGTAAGCATTTTAGTCCTATGGACCTGTCCACTAAAATAAGGATGGAGACCTCCTGACTCTCTTGGTGTTTTAGATTTCAACTCCCCATCAGCCCCTATCAGCAGAACCTGTTGTTGCAAGGGACTGTGGGAAATGTAGTCCAAAAGCCCAACATTTCCCACCCCTGCAGTGAAGACGCCCAGAGGTTCTGTTGGACATATTGAAGCAGACCAGGGAGGCCTGCTTGTCAGGGACGCTGTGTCTGGATCCTGAATGAAGGACGAGTTATGGGGTTAGATCAGATGGCCACCAAGACCCTTCAAAGCTAATTATTCTATGATTTCAGTGCTGCCTTAGGACAAAGTTCCACATACAGGTGACGTCAACCATCCTCTGGCCCCACTTTGTCTTCACTTTTCTTTTGTGACCCCCCCTCTGCCTTCTTTTTCTCCCCCCCCATCCTGCCCAGTTTTGCACACAGGGCAGGATTAAAGACACAATTAAGTTTCAGCTTTGTCAAGTTTAAAAGCCCCCATCACACTAAGAACAATGCCTATTTCTTTAAGAAAGATACAAGACTAAAATCGGGAAGACCAACCCAACCCACCTTTATTTAGTAATCTGAGACCCCGAACTATAGATATTATTAAGGCTGTGCATCAATCCGTCCATAGGTCTCTTGTTGTAGTAAGACGCGCCAAGGCCTAGGCTTAATCGCTCTACAAAGACAAGACAGATTATTAGAAGAATTATGTGAACTTTGGAGCAGAATTAAACACTAACTTGCATTCTGTAATCTGTGATCCTAAACTGGACCTTACTCATCCAGTGTGTCAACCTGGCCTCCCTTGGATGCTGGGCTAATGAGACACAGGAAAGAGGGCTGTTCTTCACTCATCTGGACACTTTCTCTCTCCCCCCTCCCCGCCCTCGCCATGGCATGGACCCTGCCCTCTGGAGGCTGGACCTCCTTGCTCATTAGCTAGGAGGTTTGACTGAAACCAGACACTACCTGGCTCCATCCAGCCCGGAAAAGCCAAATCCTCACAGCTCTTTTTACCAAAGACAAGCGCTGCCTTGTCAGGGACACCTCTTCGCTGTGGCCCCTCCCTCTCTGGGACATCTGTACATCTTACTCCAGGCATCCGGGTCTCTCCTAAGCTTTCTCCGCTTGGAGCTGACCCATCTCTGCCATCGCTTCTCACATCAAGGGACACCGAGAGGAGGACCTGCAAAAGCAACTCGGAAGCCAGGGTTATCTCGAGATGCGTCAAGGATACCTGGGAATTTGAGAGGAGATTTGGATTTCTGAAGGTGTGCATGTCCCATGGAGTTTCCTTAACTCAGGAATCCAGTTCATCTGTTGTGGGAGGGCGGCGGCGGGGGGGGGGAGAGGGGTCAGGGAG